ATTTGTTATTTGAGTTATGATAAAGTTTAATTCGTGAGTTTTGTTGGGATCATGTATGCTAGTAAAAGTAATTCTTTGGACGAGAAAAATTACAGAAAATTGGTGAAGGTAAATTTTATTATTCCGTACAAATAAGTGAAAGCAGTGTTATTGTAGTAACCGATTGCAACGTCTGATAAAAATGAATAATAGTGATAAAAATCTCGTCTGTTAGATAATTAAGGGATTAGATAACGTTCAATTTTATGAAGACTGGTGAAGGTAAGAATCATAAAAAACAGCCATAATAATAGATACGTGCACCTAATTTTAAACAATGACAGTAAATTAAGGCGAGCGAAAACATGTGGAAAGTTAAATAGTTATAGGCAATAAAATTGATGGAGATATATCTTATTTCGAAAGCAATTTCTCCATTCAAGGATTTTTTAAGAGTATCTTATAATTTATCGTAGTGTGTTTCCGGGGTTAACGTCTTCACTGTTTCTGGGGTTAATTCTAATCGACCCGATAAACAGTCCACTCGCTTAGTTCGAGCAAGTCGTAAGATTTAAACCGCTGTCGTAATTATTCACGTTTTATCGATATATCAACGACCGAAAATGACTGCTAAGGAAAGGGTCATCTTTCAGCTTTACAATACGATGTATCCCATTTGTATGATATTCCTCAAAGGAAAACGGATGACAAAAGATGGCGAAAAGGAGAGAAGCGAGTCGAATCACGCGAAGTAGCGACCAACTCCGCTTGATCGACTTTCGATCAAGCTTTCTTCCTTCTTTTAATGGCACGACTTTAGCTTAAATCTCGATCCGGTATCGATTCGCCCTACTTACCTAGGTCCGCCGTTGCCATTTGTACGGATCTCCTTTTCACTTTCCACTTGCGCGCTGGACGAGTCCTTCCTCTCTGCGAACCGAAACAGAACCACGTACTGGTCAGTATCGCAGCTGTTCATACTAATTTGAGACTCTGCAGGATAGCCATAATGATCTGTCATTTTGTGCGAAAAATGATCAGCGTCGATTTGCATGATATTAACTTGATGATTGATAAAGACAAGTTGTTTCAAACTCCATTACTCATCAAATATAAATTACAATCTACGATTAATTTACAATTAAAACATAATAATAGCAAAGGCAAACGAACGCACGCGGAAGATCATTCTTTGTTTCTTGTATGATCTCAGACAATTGTCTCTCAATTGTTATTTGTAGAGACAATTACACATTCTTTATAAATAACACGCATATTCTCTTGAAACGATTTTTTTCTTCTTGTATGAAGATTTATTTCGCACGTAAAAGTTGAAAAGATTTCACCAATTATTTAAAGTCATTAATAATGACTCGTTACAGTCCATTAATCACCGACACTGTGGCCATCCTGCAGATATTTTCAATTATTTTAATGTACCGTGTAGCGTTTCCGCGTTTGTTTTAATTCCCGGCTTGCTAATCCGTTCGCTGCTACTGTGTCGTGACAAGGAAGGGGTGGACGTCGTCGAGGAGAGGCCATGGACCTCGCTGCTCATGTTCGAGGATTCGCTGGCGCTGCTGGATCGGCTGTATCGCCTGTCGGTTTTTCGAGAACGACTGAAACGTCAGAGACAGTCTATCGATGTTTCGCGGATCCACGAATCGGAGAATTAAATTTAATTTACTTATAATGAAATACCCCCTGCCGCGTAATCGCGTATCTACAAGATAAACGAGTAAGAAAAATAGCAAAACGACGTTGTTTTCCAAACGTGATGTTCATGAATGATCATTTCTTAATGATCATATAGAGCCAATTTCGATTGCAAGATGGTTATACACTGTTCTAGATGTTGATACATCGAAATTGCTTCGTGATCGTTTTTACAGTGTCTGATATTTTGTTATGCTGCGCTCATCAAAGTTCTTTTCTTGACACGTGATTCGTGGTATCGCGAGAACGATTTCAATAATATTTACTCGAGTTAACGATACTCATCAGACAAATTTTAATACATAATAACTATAAAATAAAATATCTGATAATACATGAACCTATAACTTTTTCTAAAAAAGGATATAATTCATTATATTATTAGATGTTTTATTTTAAAAACTCCTTTTATACTATCCATTACTTTTATGTTATTTTTATATTATTCTATGTTTTAATTAATTCAATTTAAAGCTTTTAGATGATTTTTTTTTAAACTTGGGGCAGGGGAGGAAATTGATTTTTATAATTGAGAGAATCAAATTTAAATTAATCCTATCAATTTTTAACATCAATGGCCATTTGTACTAATATAGATTGAATTTAATCTGAGCTCAACTTATTTTTTCATCTTTTCCCAGTTCTAAGAATGAAGAAAAAAAGTAAAGACTAAATTAAACCGAGATTAAAGTTAATCTACATTGGTAGAAATAGATGAGAACATGAGTCAGATGCTTTAAACTTCAGACTCTAATAATGTTTTACTTTGTTCGCGGTGAATTTACTCGAATTGTATTACCTGCTGTCGGAGGTATTGTCCACTGGTTTTTTCCGCGATGATGAGCTCACGCTGCTCGTTTCTTCCTGCCTCACGCAGATTTGCTCGTAAGCATGATCCGAGGACTCCCTCGCGATCTCGGAGCGCGCCGCATGTCCGTTGCCGGGATGCGGCCGGCCGACGAATCCGCCGTTGTTGATGTGCACGTCCACTTTCACTGAAAGCCAAAGCCTCGGAATATTACGCATCGCAGACGAGAAAACTGCCTTCTACGCGAAAACTGCCTTTCACGCTCGAGAAGTTCTTCAGAAATTACTTTAGCGACGGAAAGCTTAAATTTACGAATCGCAAAAGTTGCTCGTGGCAATCGATTGCTTTGTAAGAAATTTATAATCTTCTCGTAAATACAATTGGAATCAAATTTTTTTTAATTTAAAAATAATGAAATTAAAAATTTATTTTTTTTTATATTTTTTTGATTCTCATTTGTTTATTTTAATTCAGCATTGGCGACTTTTACGCGTTTTACTGGAACTTGCTCAATCCGCCGATCGCAGTTTTTATTGCTCTTACTCATTAAGAGCCGCTGCACTGTAACGGCTTAACGGTATTTGCGGTAAATCGCGCGCGAGTCTTTAACCCGGTTTCGCGAAGCGCGCGTGTTGTTTGCGACGTGCGTGGTTTTTTCGCTCCTCTAACAATTACCCAAGTATCTCTGTTTCTTTGAGATCAGTCTTGCAGCATTCTGTCGCATACTAATCACATGTTATTCGTAAAACAGATGATCAAACTTCCAAAGTAAAACGAATGAAAAAGACAATTAACGTTTACGTTCTCATATATAGCGTGTCCCGTAAGTCGTCGACTTACGTGCGATTTTTGTATTTAATTATTAATTAACATTTGACGAAAATATATACTAATTTTTTTTAGAAATTTGAAACGTCCAATTGATATGTTAATAATATATGGAATGGAGTCAATGGAGGCAGATAGTTCCATTTGTTCGATCTACAAGACTGTAAATATCGTTAGAAAGAGCGAAAAAGAAACAAAAAAGACTGACGATACCAAATATCTGATGTGAATCGAGGACCTTTGTCCTGGAATCACAGCGGTCATTGAGAATCGACGGAATAAACGGGATGTTTCTGAATTATTACTTTGATTTATCTCATCTACAAATAATTTGATGGAATATTTTCTTAAATTTCAATTTTCCTATGGCATTTTTCTTATATCTTTAAACTTTCGTATTTAATAGTATATTCTAAATAGGCCAAGCCTTGAATTATAAGATTCTATTCAAGATGATGATCAACATTTGTTTCTTTCATGAATTAATAATATTTCAATAACTTACAAAAATTCGAATAATTGCTATAATTCGATTAAAGCCTCTTCACTTTTGACGATTAGCAGCGGGATATTTTTTGCACACCGTGTGTAGCGGGCATTATAATGTAGCAATGAAGTATCTGGGACGTGCTACTTACCAGTCAGAGTCTCGTCTTTCCTCTCCGGCATATGGCGGTGTTCCGCCGCGACGCCGTTTCGCGACTTCTCGGCGTCGCCAAACAGCCGCGTGATCCTTGTGTAGACAAGATCATGCGGGCTGTGCAGGTAGAAGGACTCAGCTGTGTCCTTAGGCTTAGGCGGTTCGCCGATGTATGCACTCATAGGATTTATGTAGATACCGTCTCGCGGTCGAGAGCCCGGCGGATGCAGGAAGAACGGCTCTTGGAACATGCCGCAGCCGCGCAACGAGCACTGCAATGTGTTTTTAGTGACGTCTTAAATACATTAGATGGAAAAGGAAAAAAATTGTATTTTAAAATTTTTAAATTTTAGTAGAAGATATACTACAAATCCAAACGTATGATAGATAAGTGCTTTATCACACACTTGGATTTGCAGTATATTCTCCTAAATTTCATCATTTAACAGAATATACTGCTTTCTGTGTAAAAATAAGGTACATAATACTACATTTTCATACGTTTAAATCCTACATTTTCTTTATGTAATACAGTGTTATTATTTTTACATAGAAAACTAAATCATAGACATTTATGAAGGCACTTATTACACTTGCGTTTGAAGTGTATTTTTCGATAACTTTTATTTATGGAATTTTATGGGCTAACTTTATGATACTATTTTACAATAATATCGAGTATATATGTATATTTTTCAATAAATTTTCAAGAATAAAAATAGACAAGACAAAAACAGTCAAAATCTTTTAAATCTTGTTCATATAATCTAAAAGCAAATCTTGTTAACATTTTAAAAAAGAAAAGCTAAAGCTATACAGTTACGAAATTTTTGATGGTATCTATGATGCCTTTCTTTTTTAATTTAAGACTCTTGTATATTTATACGTACTTTCTCCTTATTTGATATTTGATAGTCAATTGTAGTTTGATGAAGTCTATCCTTACCTTGTCGATAGAGCTCGCGACGCAGCTGCATGTAGTGGTGTCGCTCATGTGACCTGAGTAGTCCGACCCGGTACGATCCCTGGCCATCTTCGGGGTGACATTAGGAGGAGGAGGCTTGCCAGTTTCCTGCTGCACGTTGGAACAAACGAAGAACGATTAGAACTGATTGCCGGTAATTAGCTTTTATTCGTATATCTTAGACCGGAATGATCCTGATCCTAGCCATGAAACCTGTCGGAAACGATCACCTCTTCCTTATTGAGCGAGCTGAGCAACTGAAGCATCTAAACTTCCTTTCTCTCTTTCTCTTTCTCCCTCATTTTTCTCTGTCTCTCTCTAGATTGTTTCTTCAATGTACAATCGATTACATTTGTGATCACTGTGCCCGTGGTAACTTGCGATAATCCCCGTTGCTTAATAGCGATTACCCACGGTTGCGCAGTCTGGGATTGACCTCGTTCGCGTTCGCCGGAAAAGTTCATTCCGTTGAAGAAGGAGAAAAACGTCAATGATTCGGCGAACGTCGCAAAAACACTACTATTGTTGCGAGAGGATGCGGTTATTTAGATATATAACCTTGCATATGTAAGCGATTCGTAATAAGGCGGAGGAAAGTGGAAGCGCGCAAGTTGCGATTAATGCTTCCATATAATTTTTACGTCAAGTATAATTTTTATCAAGAAGGTCAAGAGAAGGAATTTATTTCTTTCTTTATCGAGCGAATACGAAATAGGTAATTAATAAAACTTTTTTGGGAGAAGAAAGTCGAGAAAAGTGAAAAATATGAAATCATTATCATTTATCTTTATTTAATTCCAAAAACAATGATTTTATCTTGAATTAATATAAACATATTAAAAATGAAAATACAAGACGAGCGAACAGATTATTTTATGAGTTTTTATAAAGTTTTAGTACTTTAAATATTATAATATAATAAGTTTTTCGCGTATGCTCTTTCATTTTATTTCTTATTTTTAATCGATTGAATCTTTGATTTTTTAAAATTTTATTTTTACTTTCAATAATAAACAAATGAATTCAACAACGAATGATGATTATGATTGAAATCAAGCGATACGGAGAGATTGTAAAAAGAAAGCGTAATTAATTGGCGGTTACGCGCAGCGTCGATAAATATTGTTTCCGCATTAATCCGTTGAAAAGTAAGTTTATTACAACAATTTAAGGATGGCGGATGTCGATATCATCTTATCGATCACTTGATCGACGGAGAAAAAGTAAATTGGATTTATAATTTTATGATCCGAAACGTGATACAGGTTTTTGCAGGACTCCAGGCGAAGCAATTTTAATTCTCGCCAGTCGGAAAACTGGATTATTTTATTAATAGGAGATAAATGCCTTTTAACGGTCTATCTATATTTTATGCTTGTGTATTTCTATGTGAATTTATATACTACTTATATGTAGTCCTTTAAACTGCGCTATGAATTATTTTACGTTTTATAGATCAGTAACCCACTGATTCGCTGATTAGACTATGTACCGTAAACTACCGGGTTTGTAACTCTTTTTACGCAATTCCATGTACGGCCACCACTTCTCAAACGCTCTCGTTTTATCGAGGTGAAATCGCGTATCAATACGACTCAAGTGTCTGATTAAGCTGACGAAATGTTATACTCAAAAAAAGAGTTCTTTTCTAGGACATGTTTTCAAATATCCTCTTGTGTAAAATAAATAAAATTTATTTATTCGTAGTCATTCGATAAATGTAAAATCATTATCGATTTATAGATAAGTTCATACGAATTTTTATTTAGCTATTTAATTGTTGTTTATTCAATTATTATTGATTAATTAATATTTAAACAATTTATTAATTATCATTTGGCAATTAAAAATGTAAATATTTAAATAAAATCCATTCAGAAGTTATGTTATGAAATTTATATTATGAAATATTTCTCTCTCTCTCTCTCTCTCTCTCTCTCGTTTCGTAAGATATTAAACAGAGAAAAAATAGATGAGTGATCAACAGATTAGTTCTTGCTCTACCAAGTGTCTTAACGTTGCGGAAATACACTTGTACGTCATACTCGACATTGTTATGCAAATTCGTACTCGATGTGCTTAGCCTGTAGCGTAATTAGGTCGCGTGATGAAAGAAGGAAACGAAAGAAGGCTCGCGATCGTGTAAGAGATATAATTTCTGTAAAGCAATAAAAGTGACAAATTTCGCGTCGCTCGGCCACGCGGGAAAGTGATATTTAAATGATGGCCACACGTACTCTAATTTCTGTGCCGGTTGAGAGGAGAAATTCGCGTCGAGATCTCTCCTCGTGTCTAAATACAGATCAACTTCTCACAATCACTATCTTACCAATCGTCAACTTAAATTGATCACATTTTTTTTCTTTAAAAAAAATCTTTTCTCAATTTAGATTTTTTTATTCGAGAAAAAAGTGTACACATCTCATCTTACTCTCGTCAAAATTGACAGGAGAAAACGCAACTGTGATTTCACAGTCTGCTGCATTCTTATTGACTTCTTGATCAGGGTATTGCGTGAGCCTGGGTGGCATCTCGGATTTTTTTACAGAGGTATGAAAATGTATCGTGATGTAGAGAGAAATGACAAATAGCTGCGACAGTGCGATGTCACTGGTCCGTGAATGGGCACCACCCCGGAAAAAATGCCCGTCCACGCAAATCCTTTCCCCGTAACGTGTATCCCGTTGCGATACGCGCCAACGACACGCTTTCCGCTCAACCGGGTGAAGGCCGAAAAGCGAAGAAGAAAAAATGAATCTACATGGTGCGACAGGCGAACTTACATTCGTATTTTTATTTAATGGAATTTAGCCTTGTAAGTGGCGTCTGTAGTTTTCGATGAAGTGGTAATGAATCTCCTCGTTGATGTGTGATCACGCGAGGATCTTTTCTGCTTGATGTCGATCGAATTGCTGGTAACATACTGTTTTAATAATCGGTTCATTGCCCATCATAATTACAGTAATGTTCGATGTATTTTGCTTCCGACTAACAAAGCAGCTTCCTCCAACAAAGCTTCCTCCCGCTATTTTCGCACATTTTTATCGTAAATCGAAGTAAGCGAATTCGTATGAGCAAACATTAGAAAGCCGCAGATTTATAGACGTTACATTTTTATTGTCGGATCGGTGATTTTAAACACGCATCAAATGTATCGGTCTCGAGAAAGTCGACAAAAACTTCCTTCTTTTAATTTCACTTGAAAATAAAGTCAATGTAGATTTTAACTTTTATTAGTCTTATTAAAAACTATCAAAATCAACAAAAAAACTGTCGAAAATTAATCGAAAACAACTCAAAAATATCTAACTTTTGTAAATAGAAAAATAAAATTTAATAAAATAATAAAACCAATTAATGAATCGTCATTTTCTAAGACAAATTAAAAGTAGTAAGAGATGTAAAAATTTAATAAAATAGGAAAGTGCCTGACTTAAGTTTCGATTTAATAAATTCCTAGAAATATTTAATATTATTAAATTTATTTAAGAAATCAATCCTTTGCGTTATATTTTATGAATCGCGATGTTTCTATTGTAGCAGATAACGCGCTTTAAAATCGTTTTAACCTCGTCTTGTTATCGGCCATGAACCGCTGCATCATAACGTTTTTCTTATCTTCATAAGCGCATTCGCGAACAGTCGATCAAGGTGATACGCAGAGAAAGATCCGAGTTTTATGCGTGGAACTGACCCGCGCAAGGTCGACTTGCGCGACTCGTCAATGCAATTTGTGATATTGCTGTGTTTCATTTACGACAGACGAATGATATAAGTAGTCGATCGAACGTAATTGCGAAATCACAAATAAAATTCATATTATAAAATTATCTATATTAGCAAATATAGGAAATAAAAATTTATTTTATGTTTAATTATTCGTAAATTTATAGAAAAATTATATAATGCTCATTTTACATCTCATACGTGGAAAGAACAATTTTGCTGAAATATCTAAAAATTTAGACAGCTAAAATAATTTTGTTGGACTATCAAAATAATTATGTAAGAAACTCAAGGATGATAAGAATGCTGAAAAAAATTTTGACATTCTAGGAACCAATTTGAATGACCTACGTAATTATTTTGATAATCCAACAAAATTATTTTTCGATATGTAACTAAATTTTTAGTTACTTCAGCAAAACCATTTTTATATTTCCATCGCCGCACGTTTTGCGTTAAATCTATAATCTTTTGAATGTGATACTTCGAGTTATATTAATATGTGACACTCTCTACATCGTTTATTACAAAAATTGGAAACTGCCATATGCTAGACAGAATCTATGAGAGAATAAATAAGTGTGTCAATGATGTAGGATTAAATTATTATCCGAGAAGAAGCCAACAGTCATATCGCGGCCAATAAATATTTTGGATATCGATTCTACAATCTTTTACCTCGATCTTCGACACGGAAATACGTACGTAAGTATATTTTTCTATTATACGCATGAACGTTTACGTCGCTCATTACGAGTGAAAAGTAGCAGCTATTTGATTTGCCCGCAAAACCGGATCGTACGATAGAAACCGCGGTTCTCCGTTACAGCTAGCCGATTTTATGAACTTTCAAGTCATCGTCGAAAGGCGATTCGACAACGTGGAATCGACCCTTTATAGTTTACTATTTTCAACTATTAATGTAAATGATGCACACGCAGATGCGTGTGATTTGTAAATTTAAATAGATGCGTTATCTAAAAGTCATATATTGGACTGCAAAGAGAACTGAGAGCGCTAAACTTGCCTCTTGAGAACGCAGGAGTAGAATCCGCGACATTACGGTACTTGTGGATTACGGTTCACTTACATATACACCCATGCAAAACCGGATTTTGTCGGTGCTGCGTAACGTCTCAAAACCAAAAGCCTCAGGTCCGTTCAAGGAAGTTCTTTCTGTTCCAGAAGGAAACGAGAATTTCGCTCGATCTTTCCGTCCATCTATTGGAGCACACGCTTCGCTGTCCTAGTTCGGACCAGACCGAGACTCGCCGAGGCTTGCGCCGTCAAGGCCGTTCATCCGCGAGTCCTCAGAACGACCAGAGACAACGGTACTTCCACTCCGCGTCGATCGAACTTGCTTGTCGATCGCTGATGCTTGCACTTAGAGTCCACAGGAGTCTCAGAATCTTCAAAATTGCCGTCAGAAATTTCCTCGCCACACTAAACCTTTCTTAATTAAAGATTTAGTATTCTTCTTGAAACTGCCCAAGTGTCTAATTTGTTTAAACATGTATGGCTATTCCTTATCCTTCTCGTTTTAAACAAACATCCAAAATTTTTCGAATTATCACAGATATCAAAATTGATCCCTCCAAAGTATATCCAAAACTTTCCCAGGTATTTTTGGTCACTTCTGATTATCTTCGCACTTTATAAAACGGGGGTTGTCTTCCGGATTTAAACGTCAAGACAGGTCCATAAAAAAGGTCTCCTATTTTGGATAAATCTCCAGATATGATCTTCCGGTATTTTCAGTAGTGAATGAATAAAACGGAAGGATTCCTCGAAATTTTTACAATCACATGATACAATTTCCCACTGACTCTTACCAGCTCGGCGAACACGTCCGGTCAGCGCGAGCGGGCGCGCGACTATGATTCCAAGCTAACACCGGAGTCACGCGCGAGTTAGCACCTGCCGGCAGGTTGGTTGACGCGGGTCGATTTCTCGACTGGAACCCATGATGCCCATGCGAGTTCTCCTCTGATCGACAGGAAGAGAACGGGGCGAGTTATACCGCACCCGCACCGTCCAGGTCCGGGTGCCCTTTTCCTATTCAGGCTCCAGAATCTGATGTCCGCCCAGGTGGAGAACAGTAACGCGAGAGCGATCGGGAAAACGGGCGCGCGGGTGACGGTCGGCCAACGAACTCGTACGAGTCTCTCTCTCGGAGGCCGGTGCGTGCCACCGGTGCGAGCGCAGGAGGCGGCAGACCGGGACTCTCTCGCTGCTCTCGAGCAGATCGTCGAGAGCCCACCTGCTCTCGTCTCGATGTTCGAGGTAGGGATACAACTCTGCGACTGTTCACCGGAGAAGACCTCTCTTAGATCTCATCCTTTTGCCTTTCCTCGCGATTGTCCTACTCCCGACTAATCCTGCAGCTTTTCCCGCTACGTTCCGATTTACCTTTTCATCTATGGATGAATCGATGCTAATTAATCCTCGCAGAGGATTTATTTATTTATTTTATTTTATTATAGGTATTTATTTTATCAGAGACATTTATATTTTGATATTATCCTTGAATGACGATGTTTGAGAAACTTTTTTCTAACTCCTCCGTTACTAAAAAATTTTTTAGTTTATTTTATTTATTTCTTTTCTGAGAATTTTTGTTATTGTCGGAAATTTTGTTATTGTTGTATAAATAGAAATTTTTTAAAATTTAGAAATTAGAGTGCATTTTGTTCCTTATTAATTTCTAGATATTAAACGAGAATTAACGGAAAAATTTACTTTGTCAAATATCTTTTTGCCCTTACTTGTTTTAAACAAATTTTGATTCCATTGTTGATTCAAATAAATGACATTTTTACCGAAATAGCGCAGTTATTGGTATAAAAATAGACATTTATCTTTGCTTGCTTCTTATTAATTCGATGAGAAGACGACGCGCGCCTCTTTGAAAAGTAAGCGCGACCTAGAAAGCGTGCACGGGATCGAGTTCTTTTTCTTCAGATGTACATCTGTGCATTCCCCGTTAGTTCTCTCTCCCAAGATGCAAGAGGAAGTCTTCTCTCGAACAAGGAGATGGAAGAGAGAAGTCGTCGTCGCCGCGAGGTGGCACCTCTCTTTCTTCTCTGCGAAGTGACTTTATCATCTCCCACCAAGAGAAGGATTTCTTATCTTCTCTTTGCTTGATCCCACTACACCTAACTGTAAAGAATAATTCCTTGCTGCTGGTGCTGGATTATATTCCTTCTTTCAGATGTTACTGTGGGTTTTACATCGAACGATTGCTCTATTCATAAGCATTTATGAATAGACGCTCTAATACGTAAAATTATCGCGCAACTTCCTGTGAATATTTCCGAATGATTTATCGTGGATTAATTTCTATTCTATTATTTATTTTAAATATGTGAAGAAAGCCATATGAAGAAAGTCTTTCAACTCAATATCTTTCTTTTTATTTCTTTTCTTCATTTTATTTTAATGACGCGGATTACTTCAATTTTCTCTTCTCGTGACCAATTAATCGAGCAATATTAAGTCTTAACATGGCAAAGAAAACCTAAAGTCATTGCTTTTCATCATTTTTGTAAAATATAAATTGATATAAGAAATAAATTGATATATACGGAATAAATTGATAATAAGGAATAATTCAGAATTGTTATTTGTTCGTTTAACTTACAAAGATTAATTCATCATCGACTGAAACGTTTCTAATCGTGATATTAATCAATCACTAATCAAACCATTCCTCTCACTAGAGATTGTTGGATTTCGTATTTTTAATTAAATTAAAATTGAATTAAATGCGATTATTGGTTTGCTGGAATTAATGAACGTGAAATCGATAAATCTAAGTTCTACTAAGTTCGTTGTTAAATTGTCTATAAAATAGGATTGGCATACATTAATTTTTTAACAATTCTGCATTTTCAATTCTTGCGACTGGAACAAAACTAGTCTGGGCGGTCCCGAGTTGACGTCAGTGAGCGTTTTCGAGAATATTTGTCGCTCCTCGTAACCTGTCTCTTATCGAAAAAGTCTTAGACTGTCACCTCGATTTTTGTTTGATAATCAGTTCAGTAACCAGTCGGATCAGTATTGCGCAATGTATATAGTGCAATAGAATTTTCCATCGTTTTTTATGTTAAATATATCATAATTCATTTTTCTAAAGTATATCACCTGATAATTAAACTGACGTATATAAATAAAGATAAGCTAAATAAATAAATAAATATTTATTGTGTTATAAATTAGCAACAATAAATTTGAAATGTCTTGTAAGCATCATATAATCACGTATTAATATCATGTAATAGTATATAATTATATGTCATGTAATAAAGTATCATAATTAGCAAATAAATATAACATGAAATTTGTTAATGAGATATGTGAAAATTTGTTTTTTTTTTTTTGACGATTTATCTATTCTCTCATGCGAGAAAATAGAACATCTATATGACGAAAGGAATGTCCTACTGCCCCACAGTATTGTACTTCCGTGAATTGTTCTATTTGTTGTACCATGATCTAAGATTGTGTTATGCTCTGTCGCTTTAGTTGATGTGATTTATTCGCAACGCAATCGTGAATCATAAAGCTGTTTGTATTTGCAACGAAAACTGGAATTGGATACCTTTTTTTCTGTAATCTCACACGTCGCGTCGCTCGCGAAAACAACGCATGATCTTAATTTTAATGCGCATTTTAGTTAGCATAGATTTCCATTCACTTCGTTCAATAATATCAACACATAAAAATATTCTTATAATTCGATCCTAGGCAAGAAATTAAAGGCTTTCCTAAGTGAACGCGATTGACTTGTTATTATATGCCATCAGTAAATGACTGATTCTCCACATGGTGAAAGTTCGAGAATATGGAGCGCAATTATGACAAATGCCTTATTACGGTGTTATTTTCTGCATTGCAATCGCTTTGCGTGAGCGAGCTTAAATCCGAAGCTCGAATATCGTCAAATAACACAAATACAATTATACTTACAACAACGAATTATTGCTATATACATTATTATGACCATCCTAGATGTAAATCAAATTTGCTTTATACCACAAATCAATAAAATAACTTTTAATGTAATAACGTCATATAGATACAGATATAAATGTTATTTATAAATTTTATAATAAATATTGTAAGGTATTATCAAATAATTACAAGGAAGTGTTACGGAATTGCCGATAACAGCTGTTAACAATCTAAAATTGAAAATTATTCTCTTAACGCTGCTTCATCTGGACTGCGGCGCAACAGACGTCTTCGTTGCAATTATGATTGATGAAAACTCGCGCATAATTACGCCAAAGGTGCGAGGAGGAGTACGCGTTCGGCGTGACGCAAAACTTTCTCGCGGTCAATAAACTTCCCGCGATAACCGATAAGTAGCCGTCAAAGTGAAAATGATTGGATAAGTATAAGAATCCTTTGATGAGCGTATGTACATAAATGCGCGTCATGTTGTGGCGTGTTTCGCAGGGTCCAAGACGTTCAATTTCGACATGAAGCGAAACGAATTCTTGTTAAACTACAGCATTGCTATTCAGAATGAAAATATGAAAATTACTGAGATCGTAATCTTTACGAATCTGTAAAACACATGTTACGATAAAATGAAAAGATTAGTGTGATTATAGGTGTTGTTGTCATTGTTATTTACTTACGGGATTAAGAATAAATATATATTTTTTAATATTCCAAATTTTAAATTATTCCCCGTTTCTTAAATTTTATATGTATAACAGTAATATTTTATTATATATAATTATGCATACAGTTATGACACTGTAAAAAGAAAGATTTATTTGTATAAAAGATTTGAATTAATTATAAAACTTAATTATAAAACTAAATTTGTAAAGATTGTTGCTAGTCATCATGTAATTTATTGTATAATTGAGAAAGAATAATATTATAATTTCATAAAATGATTAAACAGATTATATAAATGTAAAACACAAACGTATTATACTTTGATACGACATTGAATGTAACAAACAAGTCGAGTATGTACATTTTTTAATTGCGTTACGTGATTAATAAATCTATTTAGAATGTAACACACGTGATTAGTACATGCCTTTTCTGCTTGTAAGTTTCCTTAAAGATACAAGAATATTTCCAGGAAACACGATGGAAATTGAGCATCTAATCAGTAGAGATGCTATTGTCAATTATTGATAAGTTATCAATAATTTATCGATTAATTTAAATTTATCGATAATATTGTTAAAGATATCGATAATTTCAAACCAATGTATTTATACGTTTTTAATAGTTTCACTTGATTTGTTGCCAATGTTGAGGAAAATAATTTTAATACACAGTTAGAAAAAGTTTGTGTTAAATAACACTCTATCCACATTATATATTTTTATTATACTGAAAATAAGAATAGTTGTGACATCATAAAATATATTTAAAAAATATATAAAATATATATAAAATATGTGTAAAAAGTTAAATAACAATAATTAAATAATATTTATTTTTATTGGAAAAATACGAACAATTTTGGTACATATAGTTAACTTTAATAAAACATATGATTGATCTTATTTGAAGAATTGAAGATTAATTAAACTTTTCTTTCAAATTATTTTTAATTTTTATCTTTATTAGCATTCCAAACAGTAAGCATATTCACATGCTTCAGCTACAATCGAGTTTTTTTATCTAGCTAGTTTTTTAAAGGATTTATCTAGCTTTTGAAAAAACTTTTTCACTGGAGACTGGTGTAACTAGTATATAGGTATTGTAATGCAATTTGCTTCAGGTTTAGATAATTTTTCATTTCCTCTGTCGTAATTTTCTTGAAATGAATATAAAAATTGTATCATATTCTTGATAGATTATAAAAACTTGTATAATGAGTGGCCATTAAATTATGAGAAAAATGATTACAAGATAAATAAATTACAAGAATATCGTCTGCATTCGTGCAAAAAACATTATAAAAATGTATCATTGATCAGAATAAAATAGAATACGTCTTGATCAATGCACGACAAAGTTGAGAATTTGTCGGTAATTTGAATGTGTGTTGATGATAAATACATAAATTATCTTTGTTTACAAGATAAAAGTCAATCGTTAAAATAATCAATTATTTATAATTTATTTAAAATAGAAATATACACGTCATGTAAAAATTCAATGTCAGACTGTAAATTGGCTATTCTTTTGCATTTGTATATGTAACATCTCAGATACCAGTCGTCTTCCTAAAAAACATTTTTAGTCTAAACTGAAAAATGCTACTTTTATGTTTAAGTTACTAGTAATATTTCTGAATTTATTCGAAATCGATTGAATGTACGGTAATCAAGAAATGCGTTCTTGATGACGTTGTATTGTTTTGTGCTTTTGTCTGTTTGTGAATTAACGTTTTTAATCTTAAATTTATAGTCTCAAAAATAAAATCAGGAGAGTAGTCATTCTCTAGCAATGTGTTTATTATAATTTAAGATGATCTTGTCATGATATCTGGGATGCGACATTAAACATCATTTATCTACCATTTCCATTATAATCTTTTATGAAACAGAAGATTTGCTGATGAAAAAACAAAAGCTTTACCGTCGAGAATTATCCACCATCATGTCAAGTAATACCGAATTAATTTCGTTTTTGTTTGAAATTATAGTTTATGTCAATATACAAATAGTATACAAATGTTATTGTAGTTACAGTTAATATCTTTTGAATAAAAACTTCTACAGTTGAAACAATCGCCGGCTCCATTCAACTTTTTTCTTAGATATTCGCAATTTCCCTTACGTTGAAATCATCAAAAACATATAATAGTATTTTGGTTCAGTGTAATAATAATCATATAAAATTAATGATTAACAAAAATTTTTAATGAAATCTTTATTTGTAAATTACAATTTAATTTCCTAAAGACAGGTATATATTAAAAAATAAAAATGTGAATCTAAGGAATTGTTGAATATTTATTAGATATGAATTTAATAAAGAAAAGCTTGTTGTATGGAGGCTAGTTTAGAATTTGAAGTTTTAATATTGATTTTTGCAATTAATATTGATTATTAAATAATGGAATTTTTTAATCTAATATCTTACTTTAACATTACAAAAAAGTGATAAAAAAGATTTAATTTATTATTATTAAATTTATTATCAATTTAATTCGTGATATTACTATTCTGATTTCAGTTATTGATAAGTTTATATCAAGTAAATCAAATTAATAATAAGACAAATTAAATAAAATATTCTATATTTGGTTAAAGGAGATTTAAATATAGATATACTCTATGTGAATCATTGGTATCAAAAATTATTAAATTGTTTGTCAACTTAATAAATAATATTACAACTCTGATTCTGCTCATATTGTGTTTCAAGACTAAAAAGAATTTCAACGCGCAGGTTCACAATCAGATGTACATAAATTTACACGGAAATACTTAAGCATTAAGATTCGCTTTGACCAAATATAAGATTTCTCTTATTTAATTAGATTTATTTTTATACTCTTATAACATAAAATAATTAAGATATCCCTCAAAGATTTGTGTTAGAAAATAATAATAATCTCTTTTAACAAATATTGAAAATAATAATAATCTCTTTCTCTTTATTGTGTAATATATTGTGTAATATATTTGTCCCATAGAGTGAGATAAAAATACAGAAACTCTAAGTATTTTGGACAATATAAGTTTTATAGAAAAGTGTTTCGAATAAAAGTTGTAGGATTTAAAAAGATCTTTAAAAGTAGGTCAAAAGTATTATAACTATTTAACAATAAGAACTGTCGAGCCGTTCAATATCTTCATCAGAATTTTTTTTCAACTTTATTAACTTAATTTTTGGCGCACATATTGTTAATTAAAATTATTAAAAATTTGGATTAATCTTAACAGAGAATGTATAAGAGTCGGTTTAAGAATAGAATTTTCAATATTTTTATTGCGATTCTGACCTTTCACTCAATAACGACATCTCTCTATACTCATTTCATAATGTAACGGATCATTAATCTGATTTCAATTGAAATATTTCTAACATGTGCAGTTTGTATATTCGGTAAAATATAACAGACATTTTAATTAATGACACTAAGTTAAGGATGATTTGAGGATTCGGCGATTATATTTCCTTTAATAATAACTAATGTTAGCTCACATTTCAATATATCATCATTCTATTTACATAGAATTTATTTTTTTGTTTATTGAATTTTATCGATATCTAACCAATATTATCGATAATTTATGTTATCTATATATCATAAATATTGATAAATATCGTTAGCAATACTTCTACTACTAATCAATATGTAAATGTAAATGTAAAGGAATTTGAAAGATTTACACAAGAAATTCATTAATTTTTTTTATAATTAAAAACTAACTATTAGAAACGTGTGTTAATTATTTGAGTGATAATTTTAATTTTATTTTAAATACTAAACGAAGATTGATATACAGGGTGAGACAAAAATATTTGAATATTTCGGAAAATATAAAGTTTTATAGGAAAGTTAAACAATGGTTGTAGGATTCAAAAAGATCTTTTTAAACCCTACAACTTTTGTTCGAAATACTTTTCTATAAAACTTATATTGTCCAAAATACTTAAGGTTCCTATACTTTTGTCCCATCCTATGGAACAAATATATTACACAATATCTATAATATATTACACAATAAAGAGAAATGTCAAAAGAGATTATTATTATTTTCTAACACAAATCTTTGAGGGATATCTTAAATATTTTATGTTATAAAGACGTTCCCAGAGTATTTTTTAAATAATGTTGGGATGGGTAAGTAGAATTTTCATTGTATAGTAATTTAAACAATAAAATATAAATAAAAATTCAGATAAGGCTAATGAAAGTCATACGCTGTTGTAAGAGCGAAGAGATAAGAGAAGCAGATAATCCTCAAGTGCTGATTAGGTCTTCATTTATTTCGAACATTTCGATTCCTTTTGGAGTCTTCCTCAGCGAATACAAAATAAAAAATCTTCCATTGAGAGCAAGTCACTTGCAGATTGCTAGAAATGCAGCATACATTCCACTAAATCAAATTATTATTTTAAATTAAGGAAAACTATCAAAAATATTAAACCAAATGACCTCACCTCAATGGGAAACGCTAAAAAACGAAGCTCAGAAATAACGATTCACATTTAACGTTCACTTTGTAACGTAAATTTTAAATGACACGTCATGTCGTACATACACGAATTCTTAGTCAGAAGAACGATATATATTTATTATAGAGTGCAACTTTTTAGAATGCACAAGAAACTTTATAGAATACCGCTATTATAGAATGTCGAAATAATTAAGATTCACCGGACACTCTCATGAAAAATACCTGGATGATGTAGGAGACTGAATACGATTTGAATACGATTCACGGAGCTCTGTAATGTCATACGATGAGGTTCCTGTCATTGCGAGGGGCTCGTCTCGGTTGCGAGAGAGAGAGCTGATAATAAATTCCGTAGCGTAATGTGATATTTCTGGTTCTTCGACTGGTTTTAGAGGCCTTGCATACTCGAATAGTCGCGCTCGATTGGTTCAGAGTGAATAAACATGTTTTTATTTAACATCGATCTCTTATCGTCATTACGTCATCTAAGGACTTGTTCATATAAAACGGGGGAGTATCACGAAAACTTCTGTATTTCTAGTTAAGAAACGATCTGTCTCTGGATAAAAAAATCGCTGCTCGTCATGAGAGACGAACTCAAGGTAGTGAAACCGTTTCAATTCTGACGTACCTATTTATCGGAAAAATTCAGTGTGCAACTCTTTTTGGAAGACATTTTTCATTCAGCTTGTGTCAAAAAAGCTGTTCTTTTATTGTGAAAATGATTGCTGAAAAATTACTTAGGCTAATAATTTACAAACGATTTTGCGAATAGACTAAATCTTTTAGTGTAATTTCGTTCAGAATTTAATACAGGGAACATTTTTCATTTTAAATGAGCATATAATATTTCTTCGTTTTAGATAAATATAATTGTATTTCTTGTTTTAAATAAGTATTTTAAATAAATATTGTCTAATGAAAAAGAAGACTTTGAAAAATGGGAACTTCTGAAATCTAGAAACTTGACATTGCGAAAGTGTGTTAATGAGAAAACGCTTGTTCTATCGAGAAATATCTTTCAGTATCTCACGGGATTCGGTTGTGAGTTCTCCAGCGAGGATGAGCGCTGTCCAGGAGCACTGCCCATTGGGCAGAATAATCCACAGAAATGTCCATATGGTCTTTATGCCGAACAACTATCAGGCACAGCATTTACAGGTAAGTAAAATCTAAGGAATGGAACTTATATATAAATCTAGGGAATGGAACTTATAGTTACTTATACTGCCGTTTACTTGTACTTTATCTTATCATTACTATGTTATAATAACGATTTGGCAATACCGAATTTTTTTATGACTGTAACGGTAACATTAGAGTTGAAAAGTTACTCCGATCGTTACGTGTAACGAATTGGATAAGTCATTCTGGAAAAATTAACTCATATTTATAACTAGTTACTTTTATTAGTTACGTTATATCTACTTATAATGAAATAATGTTACAAACCATTTTTTTTTTAATAAGAAAATGCGTAATACAAATTACTTTTCAAAGTGACTTTTTCAATCTTAGCGATCATTAATCGCTGACAATCTCAGCGATTAATTAGTTATTATTATAGTCATAAAATCATTATCAAATTGTTATTATAAAAAGTAACTCTTCTGTTCCCTGGTAAAATCATTTGCTTGCTCAATTCTTTCAATATTTTAGAAATAATTTACAATTTTAAAAAATATTTGATATTTTGATTACACGTTTTGATTTGGTTCTTACACGCTTCCGACTTATACGATTGTCAAATAAAAAATTAATCACTTGTTTACATTGTAAAAAAATATAATTTGTTTCAAAATTGTCTGAATTTAAATTCGTCAACTGAAGTCTAAATTAATGTAGTAAAGTAAGAGAAAAATTTCGTTTTATCTCAGGAGTAAACTTATTGTTAGCTCAAGTTACTGTTAGCTTTAACTTATCTTTTATCAAATTGAGATATAAGAGGTATTAAAATAATACAAATTCCAAACAATTTTATAATCCCATAAATATCACTTTTTCTTGACTTGGATTTTTTATCATAACAATGCAGAATCAAAGATTAATATTTTTTTTTTATTTCTTTCTAATATAATGCCAAATATTATCACTGCCATAATTTTTATGCCATTATTTTTATTTTCTAGTTCCACGTAATCAAAATAAAAGATCGTGGCTCTATCGAATAAGACCCTCTGTCGTTCACAACCCATTTAAATCCTTCACTAGAAGCCATGGTGCCGAATCTTATGTAAGAAACGATTGGAACGAGACCTATCCAAATCCCAATCAGGTAAATTTTCGATTAATTTTGAATTCAGGAATTGAGTGTAATAGTGATCTAACTAAAGATCAAGATTAACATAAATATATCCTTTCAAATTTTTATGAAATCTCTCTCTTCCTCTTTCGATCTTCTTAAGTTTATAAAAAAATGGAACGGATTTTTATTATATCGAATCCTTTAATCTATCGGAAGGATAGTTTCTCTGAAATGCTAATTGTTCACGTTTTAGCTAAGATGGAAGACTTTTGATGTCCCAACTCGACGAGATCCCGAAGTCGATTTTATCGAGGGCCTTCACACTTTGTGTGGTGCCGGCGATCCTAAGATGCGCCAAGGCGTTGCGATACACGTGTACTTGTGCAATGCTTCCATGAAGGATAGAGCTTTTTATAATGCCGATGGCGATTTTCTCATTGGTAAGTGATAGAAAAAGCAATGCCGACTTCCCCCTAAAGGAAAAAAGAATATAATTTCGAGTCCAATTGCAGTGCCACAGTTGGGTACTCTGCAAATTACCACTGAGTTTGGCAAGATCCGATGCGAACCGAATGAAATATGCGTTATTCAGCAAGGAATGCGATTCTCCGTGACCGTCTTTGGTCCAAGCAGAGGTTACATCTTAGAAGTCTTCGACAATCACTTCCAGTTGCCGGAATTAGGGCCGATAGGTAATCTAATCGTCGATTTGAAGACTTATGAAAATATTTTTAATACATTTTATGTTGAAACTTGAAAAAATTAATCCGAATTCGAAAAACTTTTTGCATTTCATCTTTAAGACCTTAAACCTTACTGAAAGACAACATAGTACAATTATGTTGTGGTTGACAATTAAATTTCTTTCATTGGGAAGATTCGATAAATTAATGTTTTTTTAATGAATTTAACGAGTTGGGCTAATACGTAGGAGCAAACGGCTTGGCGAATCCGAGGGATTTTCAAACTCCTGTGGCTTGGTACGAGGATCGTGAGATTGATTATGAGATCATATGTAAATATCAGGGAAAGCTATTCGTGGCCAATCAAGATCATAGCCCCTTTGATATAATTGCGTGGCATGGCAACTACGTACCTTATAAATATGATCTTAAGAGATTCATGATCATCAATTCCGTTTCTTTTGATCACTGCGTAAGTAAACATCGTCACATGCAGAAATCTACTACGCATTGAGATTTAAAAAGAAAACTGCTATGAATTGCAATGAAATTTTGTTTATATAAAATACAATTTTTAAAATTTTCCCTGCGAAGGAAGTAACTCGATTGTGTAGACGATTAAATATTATCTTTAATGATTTGTGTTTCTGTCTCTTTCTTAATCCTTCTTAATATTTATATATTTTAGATTTTAACAAGTAAATGTATATAATGTTTTTTTTTTCATTCTTCTATATATCCATTTTTTTCGGATTCAGTTATAATTACTCTCGGAATGTTAAGTAGCTCAATTAATTCCGCAGGATCCTTCCATCTTCACCGTGCTGACGTGCCCCACTAACAAACCTGGAACCGCTGCAGCCGACTTCGTGATCTTTCCACCCCGATGGTCCGTGCAAGAACACACTTTCAGACCACCCTACTATCACCGTAAGTATTCTTAGAAAGTATATATCATTTGCATTCGTCTACGCGCCGATGCAAAAATGAAACTGTGCAAACATTTTTTAATGCGATTTTACATGCAAGAGAAATCAAAATGTATGCTAATTATGTTTTTAAACAACAAGATTATTGGAACATTACTTGAGTATTATGAATGCATCGCAGTTTTCTAATAGTTTATTTACATTTATTTTGAAATAAGTACAAACTTGATAAATATTGTTTTGAATTATAGAAATATATGTAAAATTGTAGGAATTAATATTAAAGATTACGTATTAAGTTAATGGAAATTTTGTATTTAAGAGAGATATACTTGACATATCTTTTAAATCTCTTTTAGACATCCTTTTTTGGTATACTTGGTAATTATTTTGGTTAAACTGCCATCCGTCGATCTGACACGTTTACTAGACACGGTATATTATTAAGAAATTGTGGATTCTGCGATTCTTTTCCCTATCACTGGTCTCGTGGGGTCGATTATACGCGGCAAGAGTTACGAGTGCTCTGTCGAACTCGGTGTCTTCGTTCCAGAAGAGCGCTCCTGAAAATTGTGCAACCGAGTTAGAGAAAACTCGAAATTTTTCCCGGCGACCGATCGCACAACGTTTTTCTTTCTTCGATAGGTCGTTTCACCAATATCCTGTCACTGCGATCACGATCCGACCGATTATGATGAGACGGGACGGGCCACTTTCAATCGATGGTTATCGTCGCCGCTGTCGTATTTCGCTGTATTATCGCGCTCTCTTATTGAGAAAGTCCGTCGCGTGCAAAGAGAAAGACGCGTAGGCACGATGCCTATCAACGAGGATGCATCCTTATGAGTTAAGTAATTGAAAGCCAGGAGAAGTGGTTATTATCTGTTTCTTCAATGTCCATTCCGTTGTACAGAAGTTACGTGCGTGCAAAATTATAGGGTCGATCGGAGTAACTGACGGACGCGCGTGGTGATATTTTTTGATCGTGAAATTAATGCTGATTATCGGAGATCTTATTAAAATTAACGATCGTTTAATAGCTGCGATAAATAAGTGGAGAAAGTAATTACTATGTTTGTCATCGGTGAATGTCGAAAACGTGAAAAAAATTATGAATATTTATTCAACATGCTATTGTGAAACCGATAAAAAATGTTTACGAAGAAAGATGACCAAAAAATATATTCTTGTGAGATATTTTACAATACAAGTATTTCATGAAATAAAATTCAATGATAATTTTACAAATAATTTTTTTTTTTTAATGATAATTTTTATTTCAGTAAGTAAATATTTTTAATATAGATTTTCTATTAATTATTTCTTATTTAACACTTTAAATTTTGTTTTTTCACCTCGTGTTTAATTTCATTTTCCTTTTATTTTTCCTAGAATATACTGGAATTCAATTAATAACAATAATTTAATTAATTGAATCTTCTTTGCATTGATATTTATCAATTTTGCAATTTTATTTTGCTAATGTAAAACTGCGCAACAATATATAAGGCTAGGAGCAATATGTATCTCAGAATATATTTGAGTACCAGTAAGAGTAGCCGTTCGCTATGCTTTCTCCGAGATTTGATAACCAGTATAGCGACGTATTCAATGCGGGCCATTCTCCACGTTAATGAATAAGTCGGCGGCGCATGGAGAGCGATAATATGCAAAATACGCGTAATTTCCATTGCAGATCCGGCCACTGCGTCTCGTTGCGCGATCGCGAATAGCTCATGACGTATACACGTTCGTTTCGCATGCAGACTTGTCAATGGTATCTACCAACGATGAAGATTAACGGTGGCAAGTGTCGGTATATCGCTACTATTAAACGAGTCATCTGCAACATTGAATGTTATGTGGGAAATTTTGTCAAATATTTAACATTTGTGTCAATCGTAAATCAAATCGTAGCTATTATTTATAATGAATTTTGTCGATGACTTAGAACTTATATAAACGAGTTATATTATAGTAATTTTTCCTTGTATTTTTTAACAAGACACGAATATTTCATAAAATCGATTTACACTAATACAGTTGATGATGCAATTTGTAGAAATATATAATATATACATATAAATTCACATGTGAAATATTTGAGCACTAAGATCCAGTTTAGACCGATAAGGCTTTTTCGTTGAATAATTGAGATAAAAAAGGTAATTAAGATAACATATACAATGAACTATTTTGCACTTACACTGCTGTTTATATTTTTGAATGTTTATATTATCTACACATACAAATAAAACGCTATTTATTTTTTGTTATTCGAACAGAACAGTTTATTTACTACAGTATTTTTTTCTATATATAATTAAATTTTTTTTAAATTGTCAAAATTACATAAAAATTGTTATTATTGAATGTAATCTTTAAAATTTTAATGACAGTATAAACCAGTTTCTTTAATACAATAAAATTGCATATAGAATATATGCTAATTTTTTCTTGATAGTTTATATCAAATATTATATTTTTTTGTTTATTTTTTATCTCTAATTTTTTTACAATATTTTCTGCCCTTTTTTCTTTTATATATATATGGGTCATTCAAAAATTGAACAAAAAACCGCGGATACTTTTTAAATGATCTAATATATATGTGTGTGTGTGTGTGTGTGTGTGTATGTATGTATATATGTATATATGTTTATATGAATTTATATAGTATAACTTATACATATATACCTATTTTTGAACAATACAATTTTCAAACAATAAGCTTGACACTATTGGATTCTTAGGAAATTGCATGAGCGAGTTCATGGGCTTGATAAAGGGTCGCTACGAGGCAAAAGAGGATGGTTTTTCTGCTGGTGGTGCATCGCTACATTCCATAATGACTCCACACGGTCCCGATAGACAATGCTTCGAGGCTGCATCCAAGAGCGAGCTGGTGCCAGAACGGATCGCTGATGATACACAGGCATTTATGTTCGAAACCTCGTATAGCATGGCCGTGACACAATGGGCTAGTAACCTTTGCAATAAGCTGGACAATGAGTATTACAAATGTTGGCAGGATTTACAGAAACATTTTGATCACACTGATAAGCAAGCCAAAATTGCTTAAGATAACGATCTTTATTGGAAAGATTGAATGCTAGATCTTTAAAGTTTTGAGCTTCATTCTTGTTGCCGTATCTTCTTGCTTTTCTCTTCCTTTTTTTTTAATATCACGTAACCGCAGAATTGTGTAATAAATAAAAGCTTATTACTTTACGTTACTGTACTTCACTGTGATAAATGTCCATAATCTCAACAAAAATTTAACGTGTTCGGGAGGAAAGCAGTATATAGCCAGCTTTCAAGATAAATCTGGCACCTCTTTTTTCCTCTCGAAGTAAAAAAATCACTAAGATCATTAATTTTGAACGATAGTCTATTTTAGTATTATAACTTTATGCCATCTTCAAGAAAAGAAAAAGTTATCTTGATGATTTATTATTTTGTTGACGAAAAGAAAAAATAGAATCTCGTCTTTCTCTTGCAATAACAATCACGTTATCAAGATTCTTTCATTGTTATTATAATAAAAAAAGTATTAATGTTATTGAAGAAATGCGCGTTGTAATCTTTCTTTTTTCTGACCGCTTCTTTCGTGTGTATCGCATTCATGAAGGACGCATATCGTGCAAAACAAAGTTATCTGGTGCATGTAGCTAAGACTAAATTATCAATTCATCAACATTGTATTCATTCGTATGAAGAATATTACTGAATGCAAAAAGAACTTTTAATCGCATCTATCATAAAAGTTGATATGCAATTTGATGAAATCGGTACAGCATAAATCATTCGAGCAATATGACAATAATATTAATGTTCCAGCAATGTCACAATAATATTGCAACGATATTGCAATATTGCTAAAATGTTTTATGCTATGTAGGAAATTATGTTAGACTACTTTATTATATTAAATAAATTGTTCATTACCGATATTTTAAAGTACTAAAACTTATTTTGTAGGGTGATTAGGTACTATGAAAATTTGACAATACTTTATATTAGCATTAGTTAATTATTAATTACGCTTCTAAAGTGTCGTATAATTATCAAATGAATAAAAGTTAAATTATCAATTCTTTGAAATAAAAATTAGAAAAAATAAAAATGAATAAAATGATATAAAATTTGTGTGTCCTGTAAATTAATAATTAAAAAATTGCAGAAATTGATCAGTTTGACTAAAATATTTCTTTAAGTAATTAATGAATTAAATTAGCGTTAAGTGAATTCAAAATGTAGGATGTTTTGTTCACAATAATCAATTAACTTGTACAATGACAATCAGAAAGTAACTTAGCTATTAGTATCTAAGAGTATATTGATAATCGTTATTGTATACTTTGTAACTTTGAGTCTTAATTTTCATGATCGTTATCGCAGAAGCTATATAATTCTTCGAAATAAGGAATCTTTTGAATCTTTGAAATTTTTCTATAATTTAAATAATTTTAACTAAACATTAAAATACTTTACATTAAAATTTAATGTAAAGAAAGACCAGAATAATTATATAATATATATATATGTATGTATGTAATATGATTCTTGTTTTTGTTAATTTAAATGTTAATGTACTGTATTTTAATTTTTAATTAAAAATAAGAAAAGTAATCGTTGACAAATATGGAATTTTTGTTAAATAGATAAAATGTTTAATTTAAAAAAAAAATTAGAATAATAGAATATTTTTTAATAATAGAAAATTTTTTGTGAATGATCATTATATTTATTAAAAAATTTGTACATTAACAATTTATATAAATATTTTAAAATTACAGCACATTGCATATGTTGCAATTTTAAGACATTCATAATTTATGCGATAAGATTATAAATCTCAGATCTGATCTATATATTTGAAATGATCCATAACGTTTATGAAATCATTCAATGAAAACAAATATGAATCATATTATTTTCTAGTGTACTCAATGCGTACAATAATTTTATTATTTTAAACAAACGTTTCATACTTCTGCAATAAAATTGTTTATAAAATAAAAAATACTTTTCTCTCTCTTTCTTTTCTTTCCTTTTGTCTTATTCTAAAATTCAATTTCCGCACGTAGAAAATTGATATCGTTTTGATACACTTTTATTCTTTATCTTATCAAAATATCATAAAATTTATCTTTCTTTCAGCAATTAGATTTCTGTTTGCATCTTAATCTACGTTTGCGTGCCAAAAATACATAACATATTTCAAAAAGAAGTATTGATTCATTGGTCATTTTTTAGTCAGAATCATTCGTTGCAGTAATTGTCGGTTGACTCAAACGACTCGAGTCATCGATGATCTATCTTGTAGAGACCGTTCTTGTCGACGACAAGCAATGCAAGCAGTACCTGGTATTCCCAGCAGAGTCTTCCTCGCGTCGACACGCAATTTGTGATCTCGTGTCCGAGAAAAGTGATTGTTGACGTCGTTCGCGTGCAGTATATTGCGTTGTTCTCAACGTGGAGCGCATATGATTTGGAGTTGTGGTATGGTAACGTCACAATGAACATCCGAGTTATTGTCGCGATTCCGCCACGCGATTAACATGTTCGAGATCGACGACACGTGCCGTCTATCGAATGTTGCGTATCGTAGATCGTAGAGTGAGTGGGCAATAACCCAGAAGATATGCGGGCGACAATTCGCAATGGCTTTCTCGCCGCGGTCATCCTATGTTCTTTGACTAGAGTCTCTTCGCATTGTTATTCAGAGTACTGCCAGAAATCGGTAAGTGTCACTTCGTTCTGATCACCTGTTCATAAGTTCCAGGTTCCTTTAAAGTGTCACCTCGGTCATGTATACAGGATGCCTCGAGCATTCTTTGCACGTCGACTTGCGAATGAATTTATTTATTAATAATTATATTCATGTTTATTATAAATAAATTGTATTAATTCTGTGATACATAAAAGTTAAATTGAAGATACAAGCCTTTTCTTATTGTTTTGTAACGTTGCTCTCTTCAATTTTATAGTTTCAGATGTCATTGTTAGTACATTACTTTTGAAGCAACGTATATATCGCGTTATATGTACAGTAACAACATAACAGGTTATACATAGGATGTTTCTTTTTTCGTGTTATTATTTTTTCATATTGATTTTAAATTTAAACATGATTTTGCTTGATGAAAATATCGAAATACGAATAATTTTTGAATTATAGGTAAGAGAATGAAAAAGAAGCTAATTAAATTCTATTTTGTTAACTAAATTTTAAGGAACCAAATAGATTGCAAAATTACATTTGTCAGCTAATTTTCAGACAAAGTTTTTAACAACATTCTAATTTAAAGCAAAGAGATATTATATGAATTTTTAAAATTCCAATTTGAAATTTATTTATGAAAAGATATAATGCTAAAAATTGAAAAATACCATAAATGATGTTGCTGCTAAGAGTCGATATAAGCCGATTTACTAGACGGAAATTAATCAGACTCTGTTTAATAGTTTAATCTATTAAAAAATAATGGAATATTTTATATAATTTTTTGTCAAAAAAAGGCTATTTACTTATAGATAAAATACAGATAAAATCATATATAATGTGTGTCCTTCCAATAAGCGTCACAAATGATACGGTGACAATGAATCATTACATTCTTGTTGTTTACCAATGTTAAACGAAGATGGTATGATCACTGTGTCTCACTGTGTCGCTTGTTGGAAGGCACGCAATGATAGAACGTTACCATGACAATGTATTTATAAATAAATAAATGATAAATGAAATCATGATGATGTCTTTATGATATCATTATGACTTCTAGTTTTATCTGGATACAGTCTGTTCTGAAAAGCGTGACTGATATAACTTTCGATGTATCTTACGTGCTTGTCGCGATTTCACAGAATTATTATTAACAATATTTGTTGTTCTACATCTATTTACAAACGTCTTAGATTTCTTTTATATGTAGCTGTTGTTTCTGACCTTTTCAATTCTTTCGAATCCAAAGGAAAATAACTTCAAATCTTTTAACGTCTGTCGTTAAATGCGTCATTCTCTAATAAAATCGGACAAAAATTAAGACTCTCTATATAATGTAAAGGAGAATCTTTCTATTTCTTCAGAAATGTTTGATATAACATTTCCAAATAAAAATTTACTCGATTATGCTCTTATGTTGTAAAATTGGTAGAAAGTATGCCTCAAAGATGTCGGCAATAAATTGATAATAATTGACAATGGCGGAAAATGGATGCTTTATTAATATAAAAACGCATATTGATTGTGTAGTATAATACATATATAATTTCTTTATTTTTTTTTACAATAAATAGTTTAAAAAATTAAAAATAAAACGCGGGCTACAAGCCAAGCTAGATCTCAAACTGACAATGACCAACTCTAAATATTGTCTAAAACATAATTTGCAAACGATTGTATAAATAAAAAATTTTTTATAAAAAACCAATCGCAAGTTATAAAAATTTCTCATACATCACAATTTCCATTATGATGATGCGAATATACAAATAAATTAGAAAAGTGTGTGTCTAATGACAAAACGATATGATAAAATACATAAAATTAACAATTTTTGATAAATATTTTTGAAAACTATTTTTAAAAAATAGTTTAAAAATTATATCGGTTTCCCTCTCTCTCTCTCTCTCTCTCTCTCTCTCTCTCTCTCTCTCTTATTGAATAAATTGTATATAGATCATATGATTAATCTTTTGATTATTATGCATAATTGTAGGCAAATAGATAGCGAAACTCAATAATGAAATGTTAATTTTTGAATTACGTAAGAGATTGATGATTAAGCAGAAACAAACTTTATCTTTAGCCGTATGTCATTCGATTGGTATCTTTTCCACATCTTAAGCTAATCGATTATCAATATCATATGCAGACAATTGCAAGACTTCCTATCCATATTAAATTTATTCCTTCTTTTTAGGCTAACTTGACACAGGATGTCCGGTGTATATTAACGTCAGTAGAAAGAGGGGAAGGTAGGAAGATAGTTTAATTTAGGATAATATCTTTCAGACTCATTAAACACTACTTGATTTTTTAGGTTGCGAAAAGCTAAAATTTGAGAATACTGGGAATTCATCAAAGCGAGATGCAGGCACCGCAATTTTTACGTTGCACGCTTATGTGAATAAAAATTTGAAAAAAAAAGATAATTCCCAGCAGGCGACTGCTTTCAACTTGTCAGTTTCGGATATCAATTTTCATAGTAAGGAAACAATTATTAGCATTCACGATATTTAACACACTCGAAACAAGTATATGTCTAATATCTCTCGTTAAATCAGGATTAATTACGCGTTATCAAAACATCATGGAGAGTAAAGAAAACGCATGCAGGCACATAGAGTTATATGGGAACGACAATCACCCAGTGCCTAAGCACTTATATGTATCATGTTCGTTCTCTGATGCTGCATACGAGGGATCACCGTATCGTTTGGAGTATACCGCGATCGGGGAAGATTTTGTGTACAGCAGAAAATATGTATTCTATGTGCCGAATCATGAATTTATCGGTAGGTTTTCTCGTTTATCTTCCTTCCTTTCCGTCCCGCGGCTTCGCGTCTTTCATAACTACCCTGGAATCTCTCTTCCAGAAAATAGTGTCCAGATCGAGAAGTTTACGCCCTTCATATATATCGACATTTCTGATCGATCAAATGCGGCATTGTACATACAACCGCTCCCGTTAACGTACAACGTGATGGAATACAAGGTGTGGCTGATTAGTAACGATACGAAGTCGACGCTCACGATCGTCCCCGCCAACAAAGACCACGGGCATGTACGGCTCAACCTCGTAGCACCAGACGGCGTCTATTATGTTAAAGTTGCGGCTTTGCATCCCGAATGCGGCGAGCACGGATGTGCGAACAGCACATCGCCCTATGTATACATAAGTAAATGCGATTTAGCTCAAAATTTTCTTTTTCTTATATCTCCCTTGCCGTGCAAACGT